AGATTTACTATTTAGGAGGAGACTAGAGAAGTTTTGAGCGTGTGAAAAGTCTGAGAGAGTAAAAATGTATGAGTCAACAATATTGATCTGATAACAGATCATTTAAAGACAATTCCCAAAAAAAAAATAGAATTCTTTGATTACTCATTCCATTATCTAGTTGTGATTTGAAAATATTAATTAATTATATAAGTTTACTATCAAATCTTTACACTTATATTACGTAATTTTTCAGGTATTTCACATAATTTGAAATTTACAATATTTGCACCTTGCTTACTCACTCCATTATTTTCTAGTTACGTTTCTAGTTTGAACTATTTCTCATGTCTATCTTGAAATTAATATATTTGTAGCTTTAGATATAGTTTGTTTTGGAATTGAGCAGTGAAAAATTAAATATTATATGAATAAAGAAAAAAAAGTGCTATTGTATAATCAGTGGTTTTATCTTATCAAATCGAGCTGACGCGATAACGGCAGTGACCAAGCCGAGAACTAAACTGTAATTATTAATAAACAATCCTGCTCTGGCGCTTAATTACAATACTATTTACGTCTTTCCTGGTGCGTCCTGAAAGTGTTTTTTTTGTTCCTTATATATATATATAATTTGGATTAACGAATCAAAGGTAATTACTATTTATTTAAGACTACACGATAAAACACTACTAGTCGTTCTCTTCGCCGCCTTCGGTCGGAGCTTCGGGTTCGGGTTCAGCTTCGGGACTTGCTGTCACCTCAGACTGGGTGACGCCTTCTTCCTCTTCCTCCTCCTCGTGATCATCCTCCTCCTTCTCGCTCATCGAAGTCTCCGACATGGACTTGTCCTTCATGACATCCTCCAGTTCCTTCTCGGAGATGGTCGAGGTGATGGACGGTATCTTCTTCAACTGATTGATGTTCTCGATGTCGTTCCTCTCCTCCACCTCAATTTCGTAGTAGATGTTCGAGACGAAGATCGCCGTCCAATCGGCAACGGCGAACAGGAATTGCGGCAAGTTCTCGCAATCGTTACGTTTCGGAATGCTGATCCTGTGCAGACCGCAGAGGATCTCCATGACGTTATCGGAAATTATTCTGAGGATCGGAGTGACCAGGAGCGGCGGCGCTCGTTTGTACGCATACTTCAGAGCCTTCTTGATCAGCCTGTACATGATGGTGTAAGCCTCCTTCACCGCTTTCATCTTCTCCAAATGCATCCTTCTCCTCAACGCCTTCACATCGACTCGCTTCGATTTCTTCGTCCTTATGCTGTTGAAGTACTGCTCCGTCTCCTCCGGGGTCATGCTGAACAGCTCTTGCACCTTCTCCTTGACCCACTTCATGCGTTTCGGCTCGAAAAGCCACCCGTGCTCGCGCCACGTCCCCAAAAGCAACCATCTCTTCGGTTTAGCCAGTTCATCCAACCTGGAGTTACACTCCTTCTCCGGCTTCTTACGCATCTTCCGCACCGGCTGCGGTTCCTCATATTCCTCAAACTCATCTTCCTCACCTCCATAATCCACAGACATTTTTAACAAAAACCAAGAATTTTATTCAATCAATCAAAAAAAACAACAACAACAAACTGTCAATAAATCAGCCGACTCGTTTTAAATAATCGTGTCGTAATTGTGTATTAATTAATACCAATAAGCAAAATTGAATGTATACAATTTCTTCATCATTAAATTTTCGTTTTATTTTAACCGTCAGCGTTGATCTAATTACACACGCGGAAAAAAAAAGTGTGTGTTGTTACGTAAGCGGTTGGCAATTAAGTTTTATCGTTTTATTGGCTATTGTCAAGTTCGAATGATAAACATGAAGATGCGAGACGCAAAAAAAAATAATAATCTGATTATTGTTGTTGTCTACTCGGGGTGTAAAAATAATCCCGTTTCGAAACTTTACAGTTGTTTACATTTACGTTTCGCCGTCTGAAGTCCATATCCGAAGAGAGTCGAGCGCTCGGAAACCTTTCCGCCGGTAAAATGCAGCTGCTAAATTTAGGATGACGTCCTGACCTATCGACGTGTAAATAATCCGGCGGCACGAATAGAAAACACAATAAACACAGCTTAGATACTTAAGAACTAGAAAAAAGAAGTACAGTCTTAAAGAAAACAGTCTTGAACTTGCTATATTTAGGTCTGAAAGGTCATAAACTTATTTTTGATTATTTTAACCAGTGGTTTCACCATGAGACCACATAAAGAATAACTATTTTCAAGCTATTAATTCCCAGTGGTTTCATCATTTGACCACATAAAGAACAAGTATTTTCAGGCTATTAATTCCCATTGGTTTCGCAGTGTAACCACATGTTATTTTTCAAAAACTAAACAAAATTTGATCATGCATTCATTCGTAAGCATTCAGAAGCAACAAATAAATATTAACTTCACATTTATAACCTGAAACTGAAGTTAATTATTTAACTTTAATTATACTTCGTAACCGTATATTTACAATAAATTCTCCGAATGAGTGAACTTTTCAGAAATGCGGTGTAAAAAAAAATCTCGGAATCGTCAATGCATGCACGTGTTTGCGCAATTATTTCACATCAATATGTATGCAATAATGCGTGTATTAATTCTCAGTGGTTCCACCATGGGACCACATAAAGAACAAGTATTTTCAAGCTATTAATTCCCATTGGTTTCGCAGTGTAACCACATGTTATATTTCAAAAACTAAACAAAAATTTGATCATGCATTCATTCGTAAGCATTCAGAAGCAACAAACAGATATTAACTTCACATTTATAATCTGAAACTGAAGTTAATTATTTAACTTTAATTATACTTTGTAACCGTATATTTACAATAAATTCACCGAATGTGAACTTTTCAGAAATGCGGTGTAAAAAAAAAATCTCGGAATCGTCAATGCATGCACGTGTTTGCGCAATTATTTCACATCAATATGTATGCAATAATGCGTATATTAATTCTCAGTGGTTCCACCATGGGACCACATAAAGAATAAATATTTTCAAGCTATTAATTCCCATTGGTTTCGCAGTGTAACCACATGTTATTTTTAAAAAACTAAACAAAAATTTGATCATGCATTCATTCGTAAGCATTCAGAAGCAACAAATTAACTTCACATTTATAATCTGAAACTGAAGTTAATTATATAACTTTAATTATACTTCGTAACCGTATATTTACAATAAATTCTCCGAATGTGAACTTTTCAGAAATGCGGTGTAAAAAAAAATCTCGGAATCGTCAATGCATGCACGTGTTTGCGCAATTATTTCACATCAATATGTATGCAATAATGCGTGTATTAATTCTCAGTGGTTCCACCATGGGACCACATAAAGAACAAGTATTTTCAAGCTATTAATTCCCATTGGTTTCGCAGTGTAACCACATGTTATTTTTCAAAAACTAAACAAAAATTTGATCATGCATTCATTCGTAAGCATTCAGAAGCAACAAATAAATATTAACTCCACATTTATAACCTGAAACTGAAGTTAATTATTTAACTTTAATTATACTTCGTAACCGTATATTTACAATAAATTCTCCGAATGTGAACTTTTCAGAAATGCGGTGTAAAAAAAAAATCTCGGAATCGTCAATGCATGCACGTGTTTGCGCAATTATTTCACATCAATATGTATGCAATAATGCGTGTATCCGTTACGCAATTTGCATACAAAACCACGCTCAAGTGGGCGATCGTCGCTATAAACAGATGAAGATCGATGTTGGAGCGGAGCGAAGGGAATGTTAGAGCATTGTTTCAGCGCTGAATGCCTCCAATCAATTGGTAGTTCTGTTCGGAACGAAAGCACAATCGCAATTCACCTTTTTCCAATTAAGACTTTGTATTCAATCATAGAACTGCTCGATCGGAAGATTCGTTCCGCAATTAATGCTGTTCGGAAACAAAATAATTTGATTGTAAATAATCAATTTATTCTTTAGAATCATTGTGAAGTATATGAATGGAAACAGCTGCAGCACCTTTACATCTTCTATTTACCTATCGGTTTGGGTTTCTAGGAAGGTGATTCGGCCAGGTGTTGCGAGTGAAAAGCCGAAATTCGTGACGCCAATAAATATTTGCGCAAATCGTTAGAGACTACAAGCAAAATGAATCAGAGAAAGTCGCGCCGCACTAATTAAACTGGATCCTGCACATATCTGTGTAGAAATTGAATTGCTCGCTGCCACATTGAGAAGATGACCGAGAGATGCGAAGCTGAAAGACCTCGAGAATCGTTTCGTGCAATTAGTTAGCTAGTCTACTGCTCCCCGTCCGATACTTATTAAATGTTGAACTCCTCGCATAACAATTACAATGGGAATTAGTATGCACGTTTACTGTGTGTTGGCCTTGTCGAGTTGAGAGATCATTCTTGGAATTGTTGTTTTTTTTTTTTTAAATTACAAAGAGCGTCCGTAAATCTCGTGCATAATTCCCATATATTCATGACTTCCTGCGACGACGACGACGAAATCCTTCGAAGTCGCCAGAAGAAATTAAAAATAAAATTTTCAATTTCCTTCAACCAAAACTCGATTGTATTTAAATGCTACCTACGTTCATTTAAAATTCTTACCCGTCGTGTGTCTTTACGGCTAACGTGTACGTTATGGACTTCCGACATTCCTCCGAGTTAAATGTTTCAATAAATTCAAGTTACAAGAGGTGTCTCTGCTTGAAAATATACCGATTTGCATACGTTTACGTATTCGTGTTGAGTAACCCAACATTTGCATGAATTAGCGGTACAACGCTTTTATTTTCTTTGCTTGTATTCAAAGCGCTCGTTTTTTTTTTATACTGGCTTTTGGGGACATGTTATTTTCGTTCGTTTCCTCTCGATTTCTAATGCTGTATTGAACTTAATTCAGTTGAGTTATTGGATTTACATAATGTATGTTTCCAAAAACATTGATATACTGTACGAACTACAGTTCTGAATATTTATATAATACCGTTTTTGATGAAATATAAAATAATAATTGTTTTTTTTTTCTTGCAGAGACGAAGCTTACGGTCACCTCGTAAAATGGACAGACTGAGGAAATCGTTCAGGGACTCGTTTAGGAGACGCAAGGAGAGAGTTCCTGAAAGTTCGAAGCCTCACCAATGGCAAGAAGATGAGTCTGCTGTGAGACAAGCAGCTTGTGCTTTCGCAGTAAAATATTTGGGTTGCGTCGAGGTCTTCGAGTCGAGGGGAATGCAGGTGTGCGAGGAGGCCCTAAAAGTGCTGAGGGTACGTGTATAAAGTGCAAAGAGTGCTTCAATTCAAATTACTAATTGCTATTTCCTTTTGTCATTGTGCAGGGTTCTCGGAGAAGGCCTATAAGGGCGATGCTGCACGTGAGCGGAGACGGTCTTCGCGTTGTCGAGGACGAGAACAAAGGGCTTATCGTCGATCAAACAATTGAGAAGGTATCGTTCTGCGCTCCGGATCGTAACCACGAGCGCGGTTTCTCGTACATCTGCAGAGACGGCACAACAAGAAGATGGATGTGCCATGGGTTCTTGGCTCTCAGGGAATCCGGAGAGAGATTATCGCATGCGGTTGGATGCGCTTTCGCCGTTTGCTTGGAGAAGAAGCAGAAGCGCGACAAGGAGTGCGGAGTAACGATGATGTTCGACGCGAAGAATTCCACGTTTACGAGGAGCGGATCCTTCAGGCAGCCCGGTTTAACGGAGCGTTTGGAAAGGGCCGTGGATGTACCAAAATCCTCATCGCAGACAGCGAATCCGAATCCGTTCGCCATCGAACGGCCGCACGCCACCCCAAGCATGTTGGAGCGTCAGAACAGCTTCCGTGGCTTCGGCCAATTGGGTCAGAGTTCACCGTTCAAGCGTCAAATGTCTTTGCGGGTGAACGACCTGCCCAGCACCACGGATCGCCTCAACTCTTACAAGACGAGCAACGGTAAACCAGTATCGCCGATTCCAGAGTTGCAGGGCGATTCGGTGACGGCCCTTTGTCAGCAACTGTCGCAGGGTCTCAGCCAGCTCACGCACAGCGGTTCCGACGACTTCAACTTCAACAGTCAATCCAGCATCAACCAAAACAATCTGTCGATATCCATCACCACCAACACGAACACCTACAGCTCGACGCCGACTCCGCCTGTCTCCAGCATCACTCCAGTCAGTCTGAACTTCAGCGAAACGTCGACGCGATCTATAACGCCCATCAAAGCAGCGATCTCGCCGAACTCGAGCGTCGTCTCGAATGCGAGCCTTCCGAAACCCGAGCAATGGTTAGGTCAGATCACATCGACGAAGATCGAAGGCTCATCATCACCATCGAAGAGAGCGAACCTCGCTGCACATTCCAGGGCGATGTCTTTGGACTCCTCGGAGACGTTGGGCCGGGTTCCCGATCCCTTCGACGCCGAGTGGGTCTCCGGCGTTGCGCCCCGACCAAACATCAACAGCACGAATCCATTCATCAGCAATACCACCAAGCAAGCATTTCAAATCCAGCTCTAGTTTCTCAACTCGCACGTCGAAACGAAGACATATTTTTTTACACACGAGATGAGAAATTGATTCCATTGTTTTCTTGCCTGGACTGGAACGTGCAATTATGTACATTACTGTTTTTTTTTTTGTTATGTTTTCCTTCAGTTTCTTTCTTTCTGGCGATCCCAAAAGAAAACACACTTGGATAGTATTTATTATTATTATTATTACTAAATTACTGAAGAAGTAGAAAGACATATTTTGTTAACGCACAGACTATTATAATTATTCAGACAAAACTTTAAGCATTATAGAAAAAAAATCATTCATTAAAACGATAATATAATCAGAATCGTCCCTTAAACTAATTACTTAATTGCATTGCGTCCAAGAACACGACGTGCTGACGTGCAGATTACAGTATTTCCTTTGAAAATGAACTTCAAAAACATTCACTACTTAAATTGGATGGAATTGATGAGATTTAGTGACTCTGATCTGGTCTAGAGTTCTCGAAATTGGACTTGCAAAACCATAGATGAGCTTGAATAATGCACATAGATTAATAATCGATGTCCGAACAAGTATAAAAAAAAAGAAGAATTGATTAAAAAAAAAATTATCATCATCGACAACGAGAGCACTTTTACTGCATGCGGAAATTGAATAACAGTATTATTATATATTTGTTTTTGGTGGTCGACACTTTTCGACTTTTCTTTGTAGGCACAATTACTATAGCGATAAAACCATATTGTATGTAATTAAGGTAGTTTGTACGAAGGACACCTGCCAAGCTCTGCACAAGTTACGAATTTCTTCAGTGGACTAAGCGTAATAAGTAATTGTAAAGCCCTCTCCCATATATAAATATATACATAAATATACAACAAAATATATGTGTACTTAATGAAAATCAAAGCTTTTACTTAGAGTCTAAGGATAAGAAGGTTTTGTGCCATCAGACTTAGGCGTTTGTATATTATAATTATTAAACTGGAGCGAAAGAAAAAATAAAATGAAGCGACTGGAAGGTTTCTTTTTTTTTAATTTAGAAAAACTGTATCTGTTATTATTTATTATTAACTAATTCGTACATTGATCACATCATTTTTTTTTGTAAATAATTTACTATTGTATAATATATTAATATATAATTGAGAAGAAAAATCAAGACTACTTGAAGTTATTGTTGATTAATTTAAGAAATTAAATGCTTTTACTGTTTCAAACGAAAAACATGTCTCTTTGTTCATTCATTCATTCAATTCACTGGAGTGAAAGGAATTTGTCTTTGTTTATTTATATTTTAGTTGTGTAAAGTTACTTAAGTCGCAATTATTATACTATATACGACTGATGGAAAGGAAACTAATTGGTTACTATGGATACACACGATTTTCAGTTGCTTATTTCCGTCCAAAATTGTCTACGAATATCAAAACAAAAACAACAACAACAAAACAAAAACATATCGCATATTTTCAGTTTGTTTGAAATTAAAGGAATTGCATCGAGAGAAGAACATGTTTGATTATATAAAAAAAATAACAATAATTTGTTTATATTTCTTATTTTGTTGCTGGATTATTACATTTTTTTTGTACATATAGTTTATATTAATTATTATATAAATAATCTCTTATCGAGAAGACTTGTACATTTTATACATATATACATAAATATCGTTTTATTTTATTATTTCTTCGTTTCCTTTCGTTTATTTCTAATGTTTACTTAAATTATATATATATATATATATATATATAAATATTAAATAAAAAGATGAAAGAAGTTATATATAAATATTAAATAAAAAGATGAAAGAAGTTCGGTAATGGTACGGAAATGAAACAAATGCTATCTATATTATTATTACTACTATATATATATATACACATACATATAAAGAAAAACAAAACACTAAGTAGACTTATTTAATAAATAGTTAGTTAATGAATTACGATGATGAAAAATTGAAGAAATTTATTTTGTAAATGTTATATATAAATATCCTCTATATATATTGAAAAGAAAGCAAAACTATATATGTATATTTGATGTTTTTTTTTTAATTCTTTGTTTACTTGTCGAGTGGCAGGACGAAGGGCCACAGGCACATGTACTTAAATACTGTGTATATTTATGATCTTACTTAAGAAAAAAAATCAAATTAAGTATATGATGTATAATAGTAATAAATCGTTTAAGTATTATTATCTGTTAGGAACATGTCGATTTTTCTTTTCCTTCCTTGATACAAAACGATGTTCTGAATGTAATAAAACACAGAAAGAATGTGTACTCGAAAATAAAGAAGAGTTATTAAACCATATTAAAAAAGGTTTCTTTATTTCATTTTACCTAAGTCATTTTTTTTAATTCTATTACAAATCTAAATAAATTTAGTATATTGAAGAAATATATGCCAAATTTGTTAGTATTTCTCTATAAACATCATCTTTTTAAATTATATTTACTTATTTCTGATTAATTTTCACTTAAAACATAATGAATCAGTTAGTTAATGCACTACAAATAATTATTTTCAATGAATATTTGAACTATTATAGTAAATGTAGCGTATTTAAACGATAATTATACATTTATATGATTTAACATTTTTTATTTAAGGAAAATAGCGATTTTCAAATTTATTTCAATAAATATTAAATAAACTAATTCATATTTTGAAAGAAAAAGGTTTCAGCTTTCATTTGATTCTAAATATATCAATTTTGGTCAATTATTAAAAAAGTTATTAAGGTTTAAAGTTCCTATAATCCATTTCATCGTTTTGGTGAATTTAACGAAAGTGACCGAAAATTTCGATTTCTACCAGGAGAACAGGAGCAGCGAAGAGGTATTTTCTATAAAACTCAACAATTTTTGAATACATTAATATATCAATTCTTATATATATTATAGGTACATTAGAATCGCCCATTCATTACATAACTTATGATATAACAATTGTTATTTAATGTAAAGAAATAACGATTTTTACTGAAAAATATACAAAATGGATTATTAGTTAGTAGTGCTAGACAACACAAGATGTCGCTAAATACAAGTAAAACTTAAATGCATTTAGCTAATTCTAAAATTAAAGAATCACAAACAAAATATTAATGAATCTACAATAATAATAAGTCTATTTTTTATAAAACAAGAGAAATTTTTCATTATTCTTAATTGCTCGAATACATGTATGTTTGGTTGCAGACGCTAGTGGTCAATAATGGTTATGTTTGAGTTGTCTTTAGCTTAACAGTTATTGTTTTAATTAATTTTCAAAGTTCTATTGTTCCATTTATCTAAGTTCTTCATTTTTCTGAATGTAAATTGAATAAAGAAGGTGCACAACTGTTTCCTCTTGCTATATATCGAAAACTTTTATTTCAACATCTTCAGGTAAGAATCAATGAACTAAGTAAACTGTACAATACTAAACTTTATATTGTTTTAGGTTGAGCTGGTGGTAATTGGATTAAGGATGTATTGTCGACTTTACAATAATTCTTAGATAGTATAGTATTTCTGACAACTAGATGCATTGAAAATACTGGAAAATCCATACTATACATTTATATCTCTTGTGATAATGCAGATCTAAATTGTTTCTTGTTTTAGGAGTATTTAATTCCATTTTAAAATATACAAATTTAAGCTGAAACTCTTGCCTTTCCAATGAGCCCAATGTCATATTCGTGGTATCATCCAGTTATGTGCTAGGAGCAGGAGAAAGAATAGTTACTGAAATGCACTGTTGGATTTCTTCTAAATTCTTCATTTTTCTGAATGTAAATTGAATAAAGAATGTGCACAACTGTTTCCTTTTGATATATATGGAAAACTTTTCTTTCAACATCTTCAGGCAAGTATCAATCAACCAAGTAAATGTAAAATACTAAACCTTATATTGTTTAGGTTGAACTGGTGATAACTGGATTATGGATGTATTGTCAACTTTACATTAATTCTTAGTATTTCAGATTGCCAGATGCATTGAAAATACTGGAAAATCTAGAATATGCATTTATATCTCTCATATTGATACCGACTTAAATTGTTTCTTCTTTTAGGAGGATCTTATTAGATTTTAAAATATGCAGATTAAATTTGAAACACTTACCTTTCCAACAAGCCCAATGTCACCATCTTTACGTTGGTGCATTTCAATCTTCACGTTTGGATTGATTTCAGGATAACCACGCAGGATAATTACATAATTCAACAAGAATCATAATTATTGAGTGTGCCTCCTTTTGAATGAGACCTCTGAAACAAATCTAACATCGATATTTCCTGAAAATTACCGAAATTTTGCGCATTTTTTTTAAATTGCAGCACTATTTTCTTTAATAACTCAAAAACAAATGAACTTTTTTATGATTTTATCTCATAATCAGTTGCAGGCAAGCGTTGTGCAGTTCGTAATGTAGAAAACGTTACGTTACGAGGATTTTTCATTTTTATATCTGTTTTTTTATCTAAATTACTGGAAAATTGCATAACTTTTATTGCATTTCATGATTACGTTAGATGAGCGCCACCATGTCCCAACTTTTTATGAAACAAAAGTTATTTAATGTCCGTTACTTAACAGAGAAACGACGTTTTTTTTTGACTATTTTTCAGATTTTCCATAATCAAGCTCGATCTAAAACAAGTATTTTACAGTTTACTTTATCAATTGATTCTTACCTGAAGATGTTGAAATAAAAGTATTCCATACATAGCAAGAGGAAACAGTTGTGCACCTTCTTTATTCAATTTAGATTCAGATAAATAAAGAATTTAGAAGAAATTCCACTAAAAATTGGCCCGTTGCATCTGCAACCAAACATACATGTATTCGAGCAATTAAGAATAATGAAAAAATTCTCTATTTTTATAAAAATTAGACTTATTATTATTGTAGATTCATTAATGTTTTGTTTGTTAATTCTTTAATTTTCGAATTAGCTAAATGCAGCTGATTTTTACTTGTATTTAGCGACATCTTGTGTTGTCTAGCACTACTAACTAATAATTTGTATATTTTTAAGTAAAAATCGTTATTTCTTTACATTAAATAACAATTGTTATATCATAAGTTATGTAATGGATGAACGATACTAATGTACCTATAATATATATAAGAATTGATATATTAATGTATTAAAAAATTATTGAGTTTTATACGAAATACCTCTTCGCTGCTCCTGTTCTCCTGATAGAAATCGAAATTTTCGGTCACTTTCGTTAAATTCACCAAAACGATGAAATGGATTATAGGAACTTTAAACCTTAATAACTTTCTTAATAATTGACCAAAATTGATATATTTAGTATCAAACGAAAGCTGAAACCTTTTTCTTTTAAAATATGATTTAGTTTATTTAATATATTTTGAAACAAATTTAAAAATCGCTAGTTTCCTTAAATAAAAATCTGAAATCATAAAAATCACGTTATATATTTTTAAATACGTTGCATTAATTAACTGATTCACTTTATAATTTCCACAGCTGAATAAAATAATAAATATTCCAAATTTTTCATTACGTTTTAGGTGAAAATTAATCAGAAATAAGTGAATAAAATTTAAAA